CCACAAGCTTTAGAAGGCTACTGTTTCTAAGGGCCCCACAGGCTGCCAGTCTCCAATCCTATCCACGTCCGTGGGCTCAGAGCTGTCACTCCTTAGGACCAGGGCTGGGGCAGTCTCATTGTGCTGTACAGCGGCGTTTCCAAGTCCCCACCACAAGCCAGGTATGGAAGAAAAGAATGACCCCATGGAATGTGGTCAGGAAAAGCAACAGGCCAGGCAGGGTGACCTCAAGTATGTGGCAGAAGAGCCTCTGCAGTTGGGGTGAAGGCAGGGCAGCACCTACTTTACCATGGTCTTCTGGGGCTGTATTCCCCTCGCAGAAGCTGCCGTTAATGACAGGCAATGGCCTGGGCTAAAGCTTCACACCCATGGGCCCATTAATCTCATCTTCAGGAGCTCCATGAGGTGGGGACTGTAATGAGCCCATTGTAAATCAGGAAAGCGAGGTACAGAGTAGTCAGGTCACTTGTTCAGTGTCACACAGCAAGTAAGTGGCATTCTGTCAGCCAGGCTACCTGGGGCGGTCCTCCTGAACCTGCAGAAGCTGCTACAACCACATAGGCAACATTGGGGTCCCCTGTCCATGCTGAGCTCTCCAAACTAGCCAGCGGCCTTCCTGCTCCCCTTCCTGGAGAGCTGGGTGGAATTTGTCCAGCGAGCTCGATATGGAAACCACCCTTTCCCAGCTCCTATCTTGCTGAAATCTCCAAAGATCCAGGAGCTTAAAGCTAAGTAGACCTCGTTAGGCTACTCGACAAACCAATCAAGGTTTGGGGCAATCTTACCTCTGGGGCTTTGCCACGGCCAGGCTTGTCCACCTGAGTAATGAGCTATGTGGTGAGGGTTGGGGGACTCCCTGACACCTTCCTGTGAATGTCTTCTCATGTCTGAACACCCCACTCAACTGGATCCAGCTCAACTCACAGCCAGAGGAAACACACGCTATGAGCTCTAAGGCAGTTAGACCAGGCTAGGAGAGCTTGGGGCTAGGTGATGGGCCCCAGGTCCTGGGGGGCTTGTGCACTACTTGAAGGGCCAGATACTACTCAACTCATATAGATTGTTGTGTGGAGGAATGTGATTTTGATTTTTCTGATTCTCATTAAAAAAAAAAAGCCAGAAGCCTTGTTTTTAAGTGAAAACTTTAGATTTTGGACATTCATTCAAAGTCTTTGAAACCCTGAAATGAGTCAAACATGGTATGCTGGACCTTTCTAGGTCTGTCCCAGCTGTTGGAGGTGAGCATAGGAGCTGAGAAGGTTGAGTAGGAGGGGGAGGGTGGGCCAGAGCTCTGGGAAACTTGGCTCATCCCTGTGCAATCTACCCTCTGCCATGTATGGCATGGGCATGTGGTCCAGGGCTTACTACTTGAATTGGCCTGGCCATCACTGAGAGGACTTCGTCAGCCTGTGAAGTCCTGACCAGGCCCCTCCCCAGGTTCCAGATACTGGTGTCTTTGTGTAGACAGCGGGTGCCTCAGGTAGCAAAGAGCCCTGGAGCTGGTCTGGGATTGGCTTCTGGACAAGTTTGCCTACTGGAGTCTCCGATCTCCTATATTAGTGGTGGAAAGACCCTTCCCACCTAATCACAATCATTTGTTCAAAAACACAAAGAACTTTTGGCTAAATCTTCACTGGTTCTGGGAGAGGTGGGAACCAACTAATCAATCAACCACAAAAAAGAGAACAACACAACGGTGGTTTGTTTCTTTGTAAATAAACTAAATGGGTGCTCTTGTCGTTTTGTATTATTGGCTTTGTTGCTGCTGCTGCTGTTGCTCTCCAGATCAAACCCCAGGCTCTGCACAGACTATGCAAGAGCTCTGCCTCTGAGCTACAGCTTAAGCAGGGTTTTCAAAACAAAATGAAAAGAGAGCAATGCCGCTGCTACGCACACTTGCATCCCTAAGACCCCATCCGGGAGGATGCCATGGTTCACAGGAGGCCATGAACTTTCCCCATCTTGCAGCGGGTGCCTTGTCTCCCTCCCCTCCTGTTTACTAACCACCCATTGCACCCTGGGCCTTGAGGAACCCCACTTCGGGAGGAGCCCTGTCTTCAGGTGCTGTGGACACGACAGAGACACTCAGGACCAGGTTCCGAGGCACACCCTGCTTGCTGCCCTCTGCTGGACTTGCTAAAGCTCCAGGAAGAACAACCTGGCTGGAAAAGGATGAACTGCTTAGGTGGTCAGCTTTGATGAAGGCACCCGGATTTTGCTTTTGGAAACATCGAAAAAAAAATAATGTAATAATGTTAGTAACACAGGGTATCAGAACTCTGGTGGAGGTAAGGAGTAATCCCGTCAATGCTGGGAGCCTTTACGGTCTTTGACCTCTGCTTCTCACCCTAAGAACTAAGCTCCAAATGGCTTCCCCATCCACCTTTCTTCCTGGGGAGAGGGGTCTGCCCAAAAATGACCCCCAAAGCTGGCTCTCACAGTGATATGGCAGCCATAGACTTGGAAATAAAGTGGTGGCCGCAATGAGTTCTATACTGCCAAGTCAACCTTGGTCCGGGGTCTAGGGCCAAGGGCAGGAATCAGGAAGAGGGGTTTTGAAGAGTATATGCATATCTTATTAATGCCAAATCTCATCTCAAATGAAGGAGGGCAAAGACTATGTCCATGTCGTTGTCACGTGGACCACTCCAGTTGTGAGCCACTGGGTTTCACTAAGTCCAGTTCTCTGGAATGTTTGTGGTTTTGTGGTAATGGAGTGGGCGGGCTATTCAGAGCCAATGGCAGCACGGCTAGGAGGGAAACTTGGCCTATACAAATGGAGGTACTGAGCGCTCTAGCCTGGTCCTCTCCTGGGGTTAGGGTTACTTGTTCTGATTTCCATGAAGTTTTCTGGGCCCCGTTAGTGCACAGTGGTGGCGGTGGCAGGGGTGTGTGTGTGTGTGTGTGTGTGTGTGTGTGTGTGTGTGTGTGTGTGTGTGTCCGTCCTTGTCTCCCTTCTATTTCAATACACATATTCCTTGAGGCAGGGCCAAAGCACAGGCTCCCAGGATTCTCAGGATGGCCTGTGGGCCAGATAGACCACCATGTTCAGGGGTGGAATCTTGTTAAAACCACTGTCCCTATATCCTAACCCTAAGCCCCTAATCCAGGGGTGGGCCTGGGAGTCTATATTTAACATGCTTCTTCAGTCCTAGAATTCAAGTATTTCTCTCAAAGGGTCTTCTGAAGTTATCTAGGGGACATTGCAAGGCTCTGGAGCATCACCTTGGCTGTGTAGGATACCATCTGGGATTCTGAGCTCTTAGTAGACAGGCTAATCCCCAGACCCCCAAATCAGCATCATGAGAGGCGTGACCAAAGGACTGGCCTCTAAAACCTCCTCCAGGTGATTCTGAATGCAGTTTCCACCCACTGACAGGCTGGCCTGTTCCCAAGTCACATCAGGAGGGACTTGGGCCGCAATGAGTAACTCTTGGCTGCCAGGCTGATGGGCTACATGGAGCAGGATTACTTCCTCTACTGCTTAGAAGGCTGGGGGAGAGCAAACTGCTCACTGGGTCAGCTGGAAGCAGGGTGTCCAAGCTAAACTCTGCCACTTCCTGGGACCAGATCCTGGGCATCGGGAGCCCTCCAAAGGAAAATATATCAGGGCAGGAAAGACATCCTAGAGCATCAGCTCCTGAAAAGAGGGGCTGGCTTCAAGGTTCTTCTGGCTCAGAGCAGACCAGAGCCCCAAATAAAGGGGGAATTTGGGGCAGGGGGAGTTTAATGATGGGGAGGGTGACCTGTGCCTTTGTCTAGTACCAGTAAGGCAGGTAGCTGATTCATCTCCACTGTCTCTACAGACACAGCCCTGCCAGAGTGGGAACGGTAGGAAACCAAGGCCAGTGCCAGGAGATAGGTTGCTAGAGTGAGCCTGGGCAAAGGGTAAGGTTGCTTTGGAGAACTTGGAATGGGCAATCCCCTAGTGCCAGTGGTGTGGCTGGCAGCCCTGACCTTCACACAGAGTTGAAGGTGTTGGGTGGCGTCCATAGCCTAGGTCATCAGTCACAGGGGCTGCTGGTTAGTAGGACTTTGGAAAGGTAGCCCCACTCTTCCCACCTCTCTGGCTTTTGATCCTCAGGCCCAGCAGCAATCTGAGGTATGAATACTGGGCAAAGGAGAAAGTCAAACAGGTCCTGGCTATGCCCTTTGCCAAAATGTCTACCTGGCATGGCTGGGTGTGTGATGCTCCCCAGACAGGGGAGGTGAGAGCAAAGTGGATATCCACCATGTCCCCCCCACCCCATCACCAAGCAGCTAGTGCCGTGTACACGTGTGCCCCAAAGCTGCAAGGCCATGATGCCTTAAATCTGAAAAATACCCAGATACTTCTCCAGGCTCCAGGGAGGTTGGGTGCTCAGAGCTCAGGGGCCAGGGAAGCAGCAGCTGTGCCCGGGAACTGGGTCACATCTACACACAGGATCCAACTTTGTCTCCTCTGCCTTCGTCTCTCTCTTCTTTCCTCCTAATTATTTGCTCTAACCGCTTTTAAGAGGTCACTTACAATAGCTTCAAAACGGAAACCACACTTGATCTGGAAACTAGCGGCTGTAAGTTGACGCCTTCTGTCACTTTCTGTCTCTTGAGTACAGCGAGACAAGTTACGCACAAGGACCCTCTATGCAGTGTGGCACGGTGAAGGATGAGAGATGACCCACCGGCCTGCCGGGAGGTGACAGTGCCTCTGAGCAAGAGGGCTGAGCAGCTGTTCGGGGGACAGAGTTCAGTGACTCTGGGGGAGGTCCCCAAGTACAGTGGGCTGCAGAGAAGAGAGCCTAAGAATGAACACTATGCTGCTCCTTGGATAAAAATAAAAGAACAGGGTGGGGAGGGGGTTGAGCATAACTGCCGGGTTTTCTCTCTTAAAAATAGATCAGAAAGAAATAGTGCAGAATGTCAGTATTTGAAACTTCCGGGTGGTGAGTTCAAGGTTACTGTTACACAACTGCTTCAAACCCTGTTGGAAAATTTTCTAAATTAACAAAATTTAAATGGGAGATATTCTATAAAATGCATTTATTCTAGTCATGAGAACAGCTAGCATCTGGATAGTGCTCACAAGGGAGGAACCAAGGCATAGCATTTCACTTGCAGTAGTACATGCTGTGAGGAAAGGGAGTCCGGCCTTGAGTCCCTGCAGCCTGGCACCAGCCTATGTCCCAACCACCACACCGCACCCACGGTCCTGGAGGGCATCTGGACATGGATGCTGGGATGGAGCCTGGTGAGTTACCTTTTACTCTAAGCTTCCATGGGCTTTTACGGGTGAACCTGGTACTATTTTTGTAAGTGACTTTGAAAAGTTAGCAAGAAGTGAGAAAATCCTGGGGCATCAGGGGACCTCCTTCCCCAGGCCGTGGATCCATGTCATACAGCCAGCTCCCACTCCCTAGGCATCACTGCTTGTGGCAGCTCTGGGCCTGGAGGCCATTGGGTTTGTCTTGTTTTGTTGTTTGCTACACCCCCACCCCACCCCTGCTGTCCTCAGTGCTGACCCTGCCTCCTGCGGCAAGTGGGCACATACCAGGTGGGCCATGCTGATTGGTCCAGGGGTGACTACCTTATCCAAACCCAGTCCAGCACCATCCCTCACCAGGCTTTTGTCTCCTAGAAAGTCCTTTCCTCCTGGTCCTGGACCCAGAATGCCAGCAGCTCAGGCCTGCTCACACAGGGTGACCCAGGGACGAAAACTGTTTCGTTCATACTGGATCCTGTCATCTCGAAGCCAGCTCCCACAATGCCTTGCCCATTTGGTTTGGTTACAGTCACCTCCTGTGAGCTGGATTCTAGTCAAACAGAAACGGAAAGCTTCATGTGAGGAAAAGCCAGGGCTCAAGTCCTTCACAGTGTTAGGGATCCTGACGACGAGGAGGACCCGGGACTGTCACCTACCGTGTGTGTGTGTGTGTGTGTGTGTGTGTGTGTGTGTGTGTGTGTGTGTGTGTGTGTGTGTGTCTCCAGTGGGCCTCAGATGCAGTCCCTGGATTTCTACTTCCTGTTGCTTCATAGTGCCGTCTTGAGGACTGCATCAACCAGTCCCAAGCAACCAGGAAAATTAACACCATAAAAACAACCAATGCTCACTACCTTCAGAAGTACATGCTTACCACCCATGCTAAACTCAGGAGACAGAGGGGCAGACGGACAGCTGCGATCATTTCCTTCTGGGGTCAGACTCTCTCCAGGCCCTCAAGAATAAAAGCCTGTGCAGCTGCTACTCCCTCCCAAGACCTTCAGCAGATGCCACTACAGAAGGATGGGGAAAAGGCAGGGGAGGGAGCCAGGACGTCCACCCCTGGGGGTCCCACACAACTGGCTACATTCCCTGAATGGAGGTCTCAGCTCCTAGGTGCCTTGCGAGCCTCACCTTTCAGGTACAGGGGCAGCTTAGCGCTGGTCTGGGTTCTGCTCTCTTTACCTTTGCTCCAGTGTAGACAGTCACCCTTTGTCAGCCCTCCTCAAAGTACTCAACCTGGGACTGTAATCTGTTTACATAGGGGCCCCAACTATGTGACAACGGTCTTTTTCCGGTCTCCCTGGGCCCTTGTCCAATAATACCCTGTCCCAGGGTCTCAGGTGCCATCCCATTCCACTCTAAGTTTCTATACCCAAGCAGTCTCTCCAAAACTGCAGACTTCAAACCCCAAGACATGACCTCTGATAAGAGGGAGGTGGCTGCTTGTGTCTGATGGACAGGCGGCCCTCGCGTAACACATGGGGTCCATCTGGGTTGCAGGAGCTTCCACAGAGCAGCGCAGTGATTTCTGCACACCAGCAAAGATACCTGAGAGTGTATTTCTAGAAAGGTACAGAGACACGGACAGGCAGCATCTACCTAGAGATACAAAGGCTGCTAGAGAGCCACCAAGTGTATTTGCTGATGGCAAACTCAGGTTTCACACCCTCCGTCATACAATGGTGCCATCTTGGGAACCCACGCTTCTTTATGTGGTCGCTTCTCTCTGGAGCAGTTTCCAAAAGAAGCAGGCTGGCTCCAAGGACAATCATTAAACACAGGCGCATCCTTCAAAAGCAAAGGGGGGGGGGCACAGGAGGAGGAGGGGCGCTTCCACATTGTGCACGCCCCCCCCACAAAAAAGGACGGGACTGTCTTGGGCCTAGGTGAGGCAGTAACTCCAGAAAGCACAGCTAAGGTGTCTAGGTTGAGGTGTGAGAACACAAGGGCAGGGAGACATCGTCGTGACGGCGGCAGTCCACTGAGATCCCCATGGCATGGTACAATCAGTTAAGGGCGAAGTCAAAACAGAATAACACTGAGAGGTAGCAGCTGTTGTCCTCTGGAGCTCTTGAGGGTCTCTGAAGCTGAGCCAGGCAAGGGGGCTCTCCTGGAAGAGCTGGAGTGGGGCAGCTGGGCTGAGGGCTCCTGCGGTTTGGGAAGATCTGCGTGGACCCTGCAGCTGGGGTAGCCCAAGGACCCTTCCAAACCCAGTCACTTCTCGGGTGAGTTATATAATCCCCACAACATATAAATAAAAGTTTAGTTCTGTGTTTCCATATATCTTCTACATGAAGGCTAGCTAAATATTAGTGGAGTAACAATAATTATTAATAACAATAATTGTCATAATAACAATAATTAATAGAATAATAATGCCTTGAGGCGTGGGGTGGGTCCTTCATGTGGTGGCCTGGTGGGGTTTAGGGCTGGTAGAAGTGGTGGTAGTGGTGGTGATGTTCGTGGTGGTGGTGGTGCTCATGTCTCTGGACAGTCTGCCCAGCCTGGCTCTCATACACCACCACAGCAGGCAGCTCCCTCACCTGCTCTCGCCCCATGACGGTGGCACCTCCTGCAGCCAGTGGGGCCTGCAGGCCCCGGCAGCTCGCCTGGTTCTCCTTGGCTCGATGCTTGTGCTTCTTGTGGCCCAGGGGTGCCAGGGTGGGGAGGAGGGCTGGGCTGGTGGCCAAGTGGGCAGAGGGGGACACAGTGTGGGTGGTGGGCACCAGTGGAGGCTTGCTTCTTGCACCTCTGGCCACGTGGCCCATTCCCATGTTCTTGCCCTGGGCCTTGGGAGACCTCACAAAGTGCTTGCTCCCATCCTGAGTACCCCGGAGCCGTTGCTGGAGCTCTGACGCCTTGGCAAATGGGGTGTCAAGGAGGTGGAAGGAGCCTGGGTCCACACCTTGGGGCCTCCGGTGTGGGATGTGAGCGGCTTCTGGCTCATGGGAGCGAGAGCGAGTGGGATTGGAGATTCGAGGGGGCAGCTCTGACTTCTGGGCCACTGAAGGGGAGCCTAGGAACCAATCCAACAGATATTTCATGAGTGCCCACTGTGTGCACTGGGCTTCCCTGGGGTCACCAGGGGCCATGACCTCTCCATCTGAGCTACCGACCCACTACTGTCCTTTGCTGCCCTGCAGGAAAGGGAACCTTCCCATCTGCTGAGAGGTGAGGCAAGATGGTGGCGGATGGGACGAACTAAGGTGGGTGGACACTCTAAGTGTATAAAAGAAGACACAGGAAACCAGAGAGAAGTCAACTAAGAGGGAGCAGAAGTAAAACAAGGTCCAAGGGCACAGACGCTGGCAGCGCAGCACTTTCGTGGACCAAGTGGCCACCAGAGCTGTGGCTGATGCGAGGCCAGAGCTGGGACGGCCTGGGAGGGATTACTGCTTTAGCTGGATTTGAAGCCTTTCATTCTCTTGAGTTGTGCTCAGCTTTGTCCAAGTATTACTTTCGTTTTGAAAACATCTTTAATGTTGCCTCCTCTGAGAAGAGCCTTGGACGTGTCCAGGAACAAGCTACCCATCTCCCCAGCCCTCAGGGAACAATGGCCACTACCCAGCACTTTGTTTCTGGTGTACACCCCACCCCCAGTCCCTTACCGGGTCCGAACTGAGATGTGTAGTTCTCTATCCCCGCCAGGTCCAGGTAGTGGTTTCTTCTCTCGATGTTCTCATCCACACAATGGTGGTAGCAGCCCGGCTGCTCCAGGTGGCTGTCACCTTGGAACCTGTGACAAAAAAAAAAAAAGTATGTTGAGTAGGAAGGCACAGGCCCTGAAGTCTTCTGGGAAGTCACGGGGGCAAACACGCAGCTCATCACTCGTTCTCGGTGCTTGGGAGAAGGGGGTCCCACAGAAGCCTCTCAGTCTGTGCCTCCTTTTCCCTATGGCCATCACCATCTGTCCCATCTCCCCATGCTGTACTGAAGGTACCCCAGTCCCACCCATCCCCAGGCAGCCTGGAGCCTTCCATCCAGTCCACTGCCCACCCAGCAGTGCCCTAGACGCTCTGCCTTTTCCATGCTCACGCCGAGGACGGAGCCTTCTCTAGCCGCGCCCTTCGGCAGCAGATGTGAAAGATGCCCACACTTGCCCGCTGCCCTGAGGCCATCATTTGGGCTTTTCTCTAGACAGCCCACCTTGCCTCTGTTTCTGCAGAAGTGACAAAGGGACGGACAACTGCAGGTTTACAAGCCCTTACCTACAACTGTGAGAGCAAGCAGCCTGCCCACGAAGGTTCTCACGCCCACAGCCAGCCAGGCCATCCGAAGGGCTGCGGGGCGGGGGGTTTGCCTCTCTGCTGTGGAGGCATGTGCACACAGACCCCGGTAGAAATACCAGTAGTGCTAGGTCCTAAGGTGCTGCCTGGACCCCATCTATGGTACATAAAACATCAGGAGCAACCAACACCTGCTAATCCAAACCACAGGCAGAGACTCGGAAGGACCTTTATATGGAATACAGGGAAGGGCTGTAGCTAGGGTCTTTTGTTTGTTTGTCGCTTTTTATTTTCCTGTGTTTTATTTTTAACCTTAGAGTCTGATTTGTAAATCTGTGCTTCTGAAATAAATCCACAGCCCCTGCAAAGGACCTAGAATAGAGCCTGCTGCTCAAAGTCTTTCAGATGTATGTATTCAGCTGGTGCTCAATATATGTTCACGGGCATGAGACTGCTGCCTCTGCCTGAGCATGCCATACCTGAGAGGGGCTCTCTGCTTCTTCTCCCAGCCACGAAGCTCCTCAGCAGGCTTGGTGTCCGCTCGGGGCCTCGTGCTCTGCAGGTCTGGGTCCCAGATGCCCAAGAAACACTAGTCAGTGCCTACTCCTGCTCTGCCGGGGACCGCCTGGCACTGTGTCCTCAAATACCACCCATCGAGGTTCACCACAGCTTTGTGGTGAACTTTGTGGCTGGCTTGCCCAGTGAAGACCAAACCAGCTGCCTGCCCCATTCACCTCTCCAGATTCCTAAGCTGCCCTCCAAGGCCTGGCCTGCTACCCTTTCCACTATATGTCCCTGTAGCTTCTTGCTGCCCCCAGTCCCATCCCTAGGCCTTTGCTTACACAAGGCCTTCCTTATGCAACCCCACCTCTACCCCAGCCCAGAGGCCTACTCCGTAAGGGGCTGCTGAAGCCTTAAATATACAAAGCAACTGTCCATGGAAGCTGGGTTTCCTCCCACCCTCCCAGGCTGACTTGGGTCCTTCCTGTCTTTCCCAAAGTGGGTCCCCATTCTGTCAACTCTCACCAGTATGGTTGAAAAGGACACTCCTCTTGCTCTGGCTTCCATCAGGGGCCACAGTGAGCTTCACCCGCAGTGTCTTGCTTGATGTGGGTGAATGGTTCACAGAGGAGTCAACCACCTCATAGATGGTGTGCAGCAAGCTGGTAATGTCCTGTTTGGGAGGAAGCGGACACCCCATGTACTTTAGCCACAACACTGCCACCAGCAACCTCAGAGTCGGTGGCTGCCACAGTGTTGAAGTCCCCTGGCTCCTTTAAAGAGAACTAGAGGCAGAATGTGATGGTGGGTGTGGTTTAAAAAAAAATCTTAGGAGGAGGGATTGAGGAGCAAAAGAGCCAAAGGAAGGGAATTCATGAACTCAGAGTGGCTTGTTGACTGTGAGCGACTGGGGCCCTCAGCAGCATGTGGAACCTCCCAGAGAAGCCTCATCCAGGTAGGGGGAGAGTTTAAAAACCAGCTCTCAACTGGTGAGAGGCACCCAGGGATGCTACATACCCCTGCTCTTAGAGGGGGGAAACAGAAATGCGATTCTGTCCTTATCCTGGACTGGATTATGCCCCCACCCACGTAGCTGGACTCAGAGAGGATGGCGGTGAATGAGGAGGGTGATGGGTGGCGGGAGAGGGGTGTGTGGGAATAGATGCTGCTGTTCTGCGGCTCTTGGAGCTCATTGTTCTCTCCCTGTAAGAGGGCAGCTATCCACAGACTAGGAAGGGGGTGCTCATCAGAACCATGGGGGCGGCTGCCTCAGCTCTAACTCCAGCCTCCAGGATGTAACAAGATGAGTTTCTGTTGTTGAAACGTGAGGTAGTGTGAGGTAAGTGTCACTGAAGACAAACTCATCTGTGAGAAACTTGACCAAATAGTTCTGGCCTATTACCTATTAAACCAGAATGCAGAGTCCGGCAGTGTTCTAGGAGAGTCTCAGAGACTTCTGACTCGAGTCGGGGATAAAAGTACCCCTACTAGGACTCCTAGGCTCTGGGTATCTGTGGTCAGCTGTCTGAAGGACAGCCATTTGCTTTGAAAAACACTACCCACTAGGCACACTTCCCCTGTCTTCCCTTAGGCTGAAGCAGAGATGAATGACCCTAGTGCTGCTGTAGCCAGGCAGATGTGTGATGGGCAAAAAGCATGGAGGGTCCATCGCGGCACAGGCGTATCTGTGAAACATGGTGGACATTCCGCTAGGCTGACTCTACAAGATGGGACCACTTTACATCAGAGAAGCCAGAAATCCAGAATCTTCTGAGAAATATTCCAAATCATCAACATGACAACTAACTTAATGTTTAACAAAAGCCTCTGACAGACCAGACCAGAACATGTGCAGGACAGACTGTGAGACTGTGGGGGGCGCCATTTGAGACTCAGACGCCAGCTGCTCCCTCCTGGCACACTCAGCTGTCTTGGCTCCTCTGGCAAGGCCACACAGAACTCCTCTTCTTGTCCCTCCCCTGGCTCCCCACACAGCTGTACCACCCACTCTCAAGCTACATCATCTTCAAAAGTCCATGACGGAGGTGACAAACTAGGAAACCGAGGGCCACTGCCAACATTCTTCAAGTGTCCTACGCCTCAGAGGGCCTGGGGTCCTGCTCGGTGCCTTCAGCACGAAGCTGAAGAAACTGCTGGCCACCATCTTAGAAACCAGGGTCCAGCACAGGAAGAGGCTACCACCATTTGGTTCTAAAGTCAATATAGTAAAGGTGTGGTCTCGGGGTGGCATATGGGAAGCCAGTGGAGCTTTTAGGGGATAAGACCTTGTGGTGGGCCTTTAGGCCATAGGAGGCATGCTCCCAGAGAGGACTGTGGGACGCGGTCTTTCCTTCTCTCTCCTCTTGATTCCAGGCCCCCGGGTGAGCAGTTCTGTTTTGCCATGCACACCGGCCAGAATATGCTGCCTTGCTGCAGGCCCCAAACAACAGAGCCGACTGACTGTGGACTCGAGTAAGCCCGTTCTCATTTTGAGTAGCTCAGTATTCAGGGCAGTGACAGGAAGCTGACGACACAGGTGACCATAGCTGCTGCCTACATGACTGAAAGCCTGAAAGGTTCACATGCTCAGTCTAGACACGGGCTCAGGCAGCAGAGGCAGTGAGGTAGGAGGCTGTCTGCCCAGGCACACCAAAATCCGTGCGCTGCACTAGGAAGAAGAGAGGGAGAGGTATGTACAGCAGGCTTAAAGGGGAGCTTTGCGGCTAGAGATAAGGGAAAGCACCGGACAGGATCCTCAACTCAAAGCCAGCATCCCAGCGACTCAGAAAACACAGCCCAGAGGCTTGCTTCAGGCTACGCTGGACCACCTGCCTTCCTAGTGGCTCCTCCTCATCACCAAGGATGTGAGGGAGAAAACAGAAAGGATGTCTGTCCCTGGTCCTTCTTGCAAGGACTCTGCAGTAGGGATATGCATAAGAGATACCTCAGCATGTCTACACCAGGGAGAAGGAAGAAGGCGGCCATCAGGAGCTAGCCATCTTCACTATGGTATGTGTGACAAAGGTGCCATGGATGGCCCCGTGTCCTGTGTGTCCAGGCCGGCTGGCTGAGAGGCCAGTGAGATTCGACTCTGGGCTGTGTATGGGCATTTTGAATGGGAGGAATTCCCGAGAGGGAGGGGTCCAGGCTAGGGCTGCTAGCACTCAGGGCCAGAGAGAGTCTGTCCAGTAAGAGGAGCCTGGAGCGAAGAGCCATGAGGAAGGCCTGCTCCTGCACATACTTGAAGGAAGCCCCCAGAACTGAACTTCAGGCGCCTGAGCCAATGTTTTCCTTTTGCTGTTGGCTGTAACGGGATGAACTAGGATCCTGTCACAGGCCAGGGGCTTGCGTGGTTAAACGTTAGTTAGTCTCTTCCTCCCACTTGGTTCTGGGACAGAGGCAGGCTTTGTAAGCCACATCCCCCTCTGAGAGCTTAAAGGTGACTTCCTGCACATGCTGTGGAGAAGCTAATACTTGTCCCAACCTGACTGGGATAAGGAGATATGGAAGCTAAGCATTCATACCTCTGGAGACACTGCAGGCCCCCAGGCTGGGCCACAGGAGGGTCCAAAGCCCACCCACCTGTTCTTCTATCTCCACAGAGGTGCCAAGAACCATCTCTAACAGGACCTCCTCATAAGGCAGGCAGGCCTGGGGAGGAGGCAGAGGGAAGGATGCTGAGCCTGAGCCTGCCCTCGGCTTTCCTGGCACCTGGGATGAATTCGGGTTGCTTGCAGGGCCTTAAAGACCCACTCTATCTAGTCTGCAAAGGGGCCACAGGCCAGTGTGCTGCAGGGCTGAGCCAGCTTAGCACTGGGCTGTCCCTCCAAGAAGCTGCTCTGCCCCACGGTCCCTTCTGTCCCACTGGTGTTTTCTGCCTCATTGGGTTGTCAGAGCAACACATGGAGAACTGAGACTTTCTCCCCTGCCGAGTACTCAGCCCTACACAGCTGCTGCTCCATTTGCAGAGACAGAGGCATGGAGAGGAACCTGGGAGGGCTGCAGGAGGCTCTGAAAGGGGAGAGGGGTGCAGACCAGCCACAGCCACTTCTTGCTCCTGTTCTGTGTGGCCTTAGAGGCTCGCTGAAGCGTCAAGGTAACTGCTAGCGCTTGGGGACTGCAAGAAGGAAGCAGGGATAGACTGTTGGAACCTGGGGTACCTCTCTGGGAAGGCCTTGGACTTTGCTGCTGTCTCCCACCTCTCCCCAGAGGGGTACCCGCCCCCACCCCTGGACTGTGTGAGGTGCTCGGCTATACTCATTCTGTCCCTCTTCCCCACTCAGAGGTGCCGGCACACCCTTCAGGATACTCCCAGCAGCCTTCTCCACAAGACTTTCCATAGCCCCGCCCCCAGCAGGCAGGAGGAGGGGGCAGCAGACTCAGGCTGAGTCCAGCTCCTGTGCCCGAGGGCTGCCGAGCTAGCGAGAGGCAGCAAGCACACCCACCTCACGGGTGACTTTGCCGTTGTTGTCGAAGTCATACAGAGTGAAAGTCCATTCCTGTCGGCTGTCCTCCTCCACAGAAACATCACACTGAAGCTCCTGCACACAAAGACAGTTATCAACTAGAGCACTACCTTGGGCCCGGGTAAGGCCATGGGCACCCCAGTTACCCCTCGATGCTGGGAAAGGGAGACGGACAATGACTAAGACATGACCAGCCAGAGAAAGAGGCCAGAGCCGGAGCAGGGCATACAGGTCCCAGGGCACCACTAATCTCTAGTGTTCAAAGACAAAGGAGACACATGGACTCTACAGGAGATTGTGGCCTCACAAGGCCAAACCTCAACCAAAGGTGAGAAGTTTTGGAAAGGCAACAGTGACCAGTGACTGGGAAGCCAGGCAAGATCCCAGGATGGGCAAGTGAACTGGGCAGCAGCAGGCTGGACATGAAAAGGTAGAACTCCACCGTCTGCCCAGACTTCTGGCACGGCCCCAACAGCTGCACACCGTCCTGGGCAGGTCGCTGTGTTTCTGGGGCTTCATTTTCCTTTCATATCAAATACAGAAAATGATCATATCTATCCTATGTCTTGTAAGGTTGTCAGAACATGACATCCCCTGCCATGGGGCCCTCCACCAGCTCAGAGGTCCCAATTCCCCTGCAGCTATGGGGACAGTCCTCAGAATTCCACCTCAAGGGTCCACTTCTCTGCCAAGGGCAGCCCTACAGGGCTAGGTATCAAAGACCCAGAGGTGACCTGATCAATAGCATGCAGGAGTCAGTGCAGACACCATGACCCGGCTCAGAGAGCATGGAGACAGGCCTCCCCACCACAAGGGAAACACCTGCTTACTGGAGTGTGCGTGGCAGGCAAGGTGTTCCTGCCTGCAGCTGCTGCAGCTCAAAGCTGGTTCCCTCTAGTTCTGAAGTGGGCCATGCTGAGTTCAAAGCCAGCCTTCCCTCATCCATGACATGCTAATCGGACACCTGCCAAGTGCCCACTCTACTCTTGAGGAAGTGTTTGATGTGATACAATACATGGCGCGCGCGCATGCGCACACACACACACACACACACACACACACACACACACACACACACTCCTGCACATATGCACCACACACTGGGTTTGCTAGCTATGCCACCTTGACCACACTGCGGGCACCAGGAGCCCTACCCATTTCACTGCTGGCTCCTGGCAAGCAACAGGGGCTCCATTAGCACTGGAGAGCAGAAGGAAGCCCCAGTATTCCGAGCAAGGCGACCCACTGTATACTCTGGGGCGGGAGCACCACATGCCTCCAGAAGACCCGCAGATACTCGCTAACCCCATAGTCCAGGGAGGCTGCCATGTGAAGGGACTTGGCCTGAACTCACAGCTCTGTGCCAACAGTAGAGCTGTGCCCTGTGGTCTCGGGAAGGGAGGGACAGGGAAGCCGTGAAGCGGTGAGGGATGCCAGCAACCTCCGCTGAACTCGGCCTCACTCAGCCCTCGCTCTGTGCTTGGTGCCTGGAGGATCTCAGATACCCACTCTGCTCCACTGCTGGGGTCAGAGAAGGGCAGCAGGATGAGCCATATGCTCTGGGAGGGCCCATCCATTGTGTTGTCCATGTGGTTTGGAAACCGAGGCCCAGGTAGAATTGAAGCCCTGCCCAGGGCCTCCAGTCTTAGCTTCTTCCATACCATAGGAGGCCCCCGTCTGTCCCAGGTCAGTCTCTGGGGGTGAAGGGAAGGCTTGAGGAATCTGAGGATCCTATCAGAGGGCAACAGGCCCAAGGACCAGAGCCATGTCTCCCCATGTACACCCACACTTTGTCGTAGGGTCCTGGTAGTGTGGACTGGCCACCACCCATGTGGAGAGGCCGTGGCTGAGGTGTTAGGGCCTGGAAGGCAGCAGGAGGGATCTCCCACATAAGAGGTCCTCCCATTTAAATGGGCCTCAGTTTCCCCCTTCTAGAGCACCACCATGAATCACAACCCTCAAACGGAAACTTACTTCAAACTTCAGCTGCTTCTTGGAGCCAGGGCCAGGTTCACTCAGTTTCTCCATTCTCTTCTCATCTCCACTGACCAGGCTATCGGTCTTCTCAGGTGGTAGAGCCACTGTGGGGAGGTACAGAGGAAGAGGAGGAAGTCGAGGTCAGGGTGGCTACGCTATTTCCTCAGGCCAAGAGTGCTGGCACCCCCCACTGCAATGCCTGTTGGCTGTGTTCCGTGTCCTTTGATTCTTCGGCCCTGGTGATGCCACAGACTGCCTCAGAGAAAGCCTTGTGGTGCAGACACACCAGTTACTCAGGTTTCCCGGCAGCCTCTCAGACTCCTACTCTGCCCCACCTTTACAGCCTGGATAAGCAGCCTGCAGATTCAGCACCTGTAGAGACAACCAGGCACTTAGCAGGGCTGGGCATGGAGAGGTGTTTAGGGACTGGACAAGCTGTGGGACCACAGCCTTCTGTCTGCACCGCCTCCTGTACCGATACGGTGCTATCTTCAAAGATGCTGATGCACTCAGCCTGTGGGCAGAGCAGGAGGATGGGAACCGAGCTAACAGTCTGAGAAAGGGTATCCGTGTGTGTGTGTGTGTGTGTGTGTGTGTGTGTGTGTGTGTGTGTGTGTGTGTGTTGAAGGACATCGTGCACCACACAATGGCTCTTCAGGGACTGCTCCCTGACCCTTGCCCTTGGCCTCTGCTCACCTGGGGGAATATGAAATTTGTACCATTCTCCTGTGTCCAGGAGGTGCCAGTGTGGTAACACCATCATCCCAGACCCAGGACCCGGGCTACAGGTTTCACCATGTAACAGAATGCACGATAGGAGTCCTTTGACCCTTTCCGTGCGACACAGGGGACTTCAACTTATTTTTCTAGAAGATGCTCCCACCTTTTCCCTCCCAGAGTTCCCCGATGCCCTGGTACAGCGACTTTCTTGTCTATTTTGAAGGGAAACAAACAGTGTGGGTCCTGACCTAAGAAGGCTAGGTTACCCGCGGGCGGCTGAGACGGCTCAGCTAGACTGATAGTTCCAGTTGAACCTTCTGGGGATGTCAGGATCCTGGCAAAATGAGGCACAGGCCAGGAAAGTGGGGCTCTGTCCCCACCCCACTCAATTCACATATCCCAGTGCTGCAATGAGCCCCTAAGAGCAACAGCGGGAAGGGGGTGCAGTGGGGGAGGGGCGCACACCCCCTTGCTTTGTTCACACTTTCCAAGTCAGAGCTCTCTTCCTGGCGTCCATTTGCAGCAGTCCACATGGTACCCTGGAACCAGCGATCATAGCATGGGCAACAGGCTCTCACAGTAACCGGACCCCACAGCCCTCAGTACCACTATTCATTGACTCTCTCTTCACTGGGACCTTGTGAGGCAGTTACTGTTATAAGAATATTCCGGATTCTCGAGACCACAGCCAACTACAAACCGGCCTGCAGCAGTGGTTCTGTTCCCTGGGAGCCTTTTCCTTCTCTCTCCTTGCCTCAGCACAGCCAGCACCCACAGGGGCCGCCAGCACCCACAGGGGCCGCCAGCCCTGACTGTCCACTGAGGCAACAGCTCCCGAATGCCATCAAGATTACTAACTGTGGAACGAATGGCCTGTTACTGAAGAGGAAAGGAGCACACGACACGGTCACCTCCTCAGAAGGCTCCCGGGGCCCGGCATCCTCACTGCCAGGCAGGCCACTGGCCCCAGGTACTTTGGATTCTATCCTTAACAGTCCCACCCCAATCCTATTGGTCAGATATCCTCCCCCAGAGGACCCTGAATCCAGCAAGGCCAGTCAGGCTGGTGACCCACTAGGGACTCAGACAGTCAAGCATCAACTACTCAATCTATCTAGTGCCCACTGGGCCACAGATGCTACCATGAGTCCAGACAGGGCACAAGGTATGGCCATGCCTTTCAGGCACTGGGGCAGGAGGCCCTTCTGCTACTCCTTGAATCAGGGTGCTCTGCTGAGGCCTTTATTAGTACCTACATCTCCAGCAGACACAGCCGGGCTGCACAGGGGCACCACAGTAGAGAGTGGCACTTGGTGCTTCTACTTTTCCGACCAGGCAGCTTTAAGAAAGTCTGTACAGCCGGGCGTTGGTGGCACACGCCTTTAATCCCAGCACTTGGGAGGCAGAGGCAGGCGGATCTCTATGAGTTCGAGGTCAGCCTGGTCTACAGAGTGAGTTCCAGGATAGCCAAGCTACACAGAGAAAGTCTGTCTCGAAAAATAGAAAAGAAAAAAAAAGAAGTCTGTACAGTGGAGGAAGGGTGGTGTCTCCCTCACAGGGATGCTGCTTCTCAGTAGACAGCATCCTCACAGTTCCCGGAGAGAACCAGAGGCTGCTGGTCAACACCACGGTAGGTACTCAGCAAGTGCGCACTAAGTGCTGACTGTGCCCTAGTCCCAGCTGGTAGCCCAGGTCTGAACAATCTCCTTTGCCCCAATCTGCCCCTTTGTAGGAACTATAGAGACATCACAGCCTGCAGAATCCTCCCCTCCCCCTCCCAGAGAGAGAGAGGAGGAAGCAGAAAGCAAAACAAAGCCGAGTTCCATCTTCAAAGCCACTGCCTGGCTCTGCAGAGGTCCTGCTGATGTGAGCTGGCCAGGCTTATCGAAACCCGACTTCAAGTTCAAAGGGAAGTTATCAGACAAGCACCTCCAGGTTCAATGTTGCCTTTCATGTTCCACTTGATAAGCCCAAAGACAAGGAACCGCTGTTCCGTTCTCTCTGGAGTGCCCTTGCTGCCATGCTAGAGAGCATGTCTTCCTTCGGGACCTCCCCCGCCCCTTTCTCCCCACCTGAGGTGGAAAGCACCCCCTTTTATCCTCATGTGTCCTCTCTAGAGACCGCAGTGGCTTAAACTGTCCTCTCTTCCCAAGCAGGTCCCTCAAGCCGTCCTAGCCCACCAAGCCTCCAGGAACCCCCAGGTGGCCGAGTCAGTGAACATGCAGAGCCTCACAGCTTGGGCAGGGCAGAAATGAATCACAGGCCTGAGAGACATGCTGCCCCCGGGTTGGGAGCCGAATAAGACTCCTTGATACCCTGTGCCCTACCAAAGAAGACTTGCATCTCTATTGTCCCCTGACCAAGTGCCAGAACAGGTGGCAGAGAACCCACCGAAAGCCATGCAGGCCCAGGATCAGAGGGAGGGGCTGGGATTCTAGCAACTGGCATGGGATTCACAGATGACCCCTCTGAAACCAAACCAAGGCAAACAGCATTGTGCCCAGGCAGCGAAGTAGCGCACCTCCACTTGCCTATGGCCACTGGCATGAGGGCCAGGTAGTGGAGCTGCTCACAGTAGGCTCTCCAAGTCACATATCCAGGAACTATACTATGCTGCCAAGGACTCTAGTACCCAAGAACTCTCTCTGCTCCCTGTTCCTGCTTGCTCCTTGGCTGCCAGTCTCAGACACGTCTTTCAGAGGTTCTCTGAGCATGCTCAGACTGCCAGGGAAAGCCACAGCAGGGCACATTGCCAATGTGGCAGGAGAAAAGGAGTCAAGGAAGGAGGACAAAAACACATGCTACTGGCCAAGAAGCATGTTTGGGTGATAGGGAGCAGGGTGTCAGCTGAGCCTTGGGAGTCACTGGGCCCGCAGCCTGGCTTTCTAAGTAAAGCTTAATGAGGTATTCCACACTCACCAGTCTCTGGCTGCTTCTGCCGCACACAGGGGACCTGAGGCAAGTCATTACAAGAGTCCTTGTGGTCCACACAGCTTAAGATAGGAACTGTCTGGTCCTTTCCAGAACTTTGGCTATTGCTGCTTTAGGCAAAGGCAGTCCTCCACCCCTTACAGGTATATGCTTGGTAAACAGGACACAGCTTGGAGTTACTGAGTTACTGTGATTTACTGTTTGGCTAACTGGAAACCCTGTGCAGTACCCAACCTGCTCAATCATTCATTATGACCACAGAAGAGAAAAAACATGACATTTCTACTTTCTCAAAATTGCTTCTCAGCCCAGATGGACATGGGGGCTGTTTGTGGGGCTCCTTCTCTTTGCAAGCTACTTTCTGTCCTTCTCACATGGAGGCCATGGCCACTGGAGCTGGCTCGCTGATTTTGCAGATGATGGTTCTCTGTACACATCAGCTCCAGCCTGGCCGCACTCCACCCCCAGCAACTGCCAGATTAAATGCATTACTTGACCATCTTCACCCGGCTCCCTTTGAAGTTCCCTTCTCAAGCTTCAAAATACCTTTTGGAGGGAGATCAGACAGCATTAAACAGAATTACTAATTAATTAAGCAAAGTTAAATTTTAAACACTGTTTGTTGTGTTAGCCAAAAGCCTGAACAGAACAGACTTCTTTCCTCCACCGAGATCAAAGACAGCCTCTTTCCCTCTCCCCTCCCCCAGTTTAAAAAAGGGAAGGAGGAGGAGGAGGAAGAGAAAGGGAAGAGACTTGGGAACCAGGAAAGGTGGCAGCTGTGATTAGGGCCTGGACTCCTCAACCTTCCCCAGGGCCAATAGGAGGCATCTCTGGGATCACATGCTGGGAGAGTTCCCCATCACTTTCTGGGGACTGTTTACCCTGGCAAACAGCAGTGACCCAGAGAGCAGCCTGGCACAGCCCACCCAGCCTGAGTGCTGACAGCTGGCGCCACCCAAACAGCAGGAGGAGAAGAGGGCTAGGAAACCAAGCGGGCCCTCCTGGTGCAGCATCTCTCTCCTAAGCTGCACGGGGCATGCTCACCTAGGGCTCTTGCCCTGTGTCTAGGGTCACCTGGGGTCATCTGGGGTTGCTAGGAGACAGGCTTTGAAAAGCAGGCTGTGCACTGCTCAATTCCAGAAGTGTCATTAACATGACACCAGAGATGTGCATAAATGTACTACTTCCGGCATTTCTCAAGGGAGACAGGCAGGTGTGGAAGGAGGAGCGCTGAGTGCTGTCTCTTTAATTGGTACAAATGCGTCTGAGCTGGCAGGGCGTGGTCTGCTTCCATTCAATCTGGCAATTCATTCCATACAGTCCCATGTACGGGGCCCTCTGATGACCTCACAGCAAGCAGGCTCTGTGTCTACACAACAGAACTCTAACTTCCTAGAGGCTGGTCCCTGGTAGCTGCTGCCCCTGTACTGCCCACAGGAGGTGGCACATCTATGCACCCAGGCAGAGTAGGAGTTTTCATACGCATGAGCCCAGCTGTGCCATGTCCTACACACAGGCATAGGTAAGCTAGGACAGACAGATGCTGTCAGTCTTGGCTTGAGCAACATGGAGGTTTGGTGTGAGGAAATGGTTGAAAAATGGGGGAATGCAAACTGAGGTGACAGCGGCCAGTGCCAGGTTATTTTAACATAGTCCACAAAACCCTAGTTAACAGCAAGTTTGGATAAAAGTGACAAATTGGAAACCAGGTTATGACCACGGCAGTAAAGACCCAACCTCAGTAAGGAAAGAGCAGCAATGGCATCGAGCGTGTGCCACACGTCTCTCCATCTGGGTAGCCGGGTAATTTTCAAGCAGACACAATAGGAGACTGAGCACAAGCTGGGGCTTCTGTGCTGAAGTTGGGACACGTGCCCTAACATGCTTGTGATCCCCTGCAATTGTCCACACAAAGATATCTGTGACAAATATTCTGGTCTAAGGGTGGCTTGCCAGGATGTTTCTGGGCCTCCAAACCTCCAGCAGCAGCTGTCAGGGGGAATGCAGATGGATTTTTAATATTAGCCTATGCCAAAAATAATTAGGAGGGTAAATCTGCGGCCGTGAGGAGAAAGATCGTGTGTGCATTCCAGACCAAATGGTTTCTTGGATGACTGGCACAGGCCTCACGAGAGAAAAGGCTCTGGAGATGCACAGATGTGCCAGCCGGGCACTGCCGGTCAAGTTGGCAGGTACACATGTTGTCTCATTAAGTCCTTACTAGCATAATGTAGGAGTGTCACCATTTGCATTTCACAACACTGGGACTAAAGCTTAAAAAGCAAATCGAAAGCTGGGCAAGGTGGCACATGCCTGTCTTAGGAGGCTACGGCAGGATGGTGAGTTTGAGTCGCCCACCCCTACACTGTCAGGCCACTGTACCAGGACTTTGTATTTAAAAAGAAAGGAAGGGAGGGAGGGAGGGAGGGAGGGAGGGAGGAAGGGAGGAAGGGGAGAGGAGAGGAGAGGAGAAGAAGAGAAGAGAAGAGAAGAGAAGAGAAGAGGAAAAAAAAGAGTGTATTCTTAATGGTCTCTCCCTACCCCCGCCATGGTTCTAGAGTCAAATCTCACAAACCTGGAGCTTCCCTGGTTAAGAAAACGAGAGTGGAATTTCTGCAAAGCATTCCATGACTCAGAAGCCATGTCTTGCCCGAGACAGCACTGCACATTCCACATTCACAGGGTGGAGAGCTCAGAGTTGGAGTTTAGTGTCATTGCTCAAATTTGGATGGGAGGGGAGTTGAGCCAAGTGAACTGACAGGACAATTTAGGAACTGGGGGAAAGAAGCCAGGGGGTGTCACTAAGTACCCTTTCATGGATAGATGTTCCTGATGCTCCCCCCAAAACCCATCTCGGACTTTGAGGGACCGAGGACAGAAAGAGGAGAGGGAGAGAGAGAGAGAGAGAGGGAGTCTGTGTCTGCATCTGCTCATACTAGGTCCAGCTTTTAGTTTTTCATGTCTTAGCTTTTTAGGCAATCCTATCCCTGGAATTTTCAATTTCAAAAGCTTCAAGTTGAAGCAAGCTTGGTTGAGCTTTCCAAAGAGCCCAGAGTTCTGGATTGAGGAGCTTCACTGTGAGGCTCTGCTTTTCAGGGAACCACTACCACCTCCCAGGCAGCAGTGATCTGCCCAGCAGAGCCCCCAAGCACTCCCTGGCTTCCCTCCAAATGTGCAAACTCCCCTCCCACACGCCACCACTGGGCCCAGATCCCAGCACTGGTTCTGCTTTAAAGACACTTGTGACTGAGAGGAAAGAGGCCATGGGGAAAGGAGGCAACTGTCTGCAAACACTGTCCGGTCTTCATTTTCGGAGGTCTGAATAGAGCTGGGGGATATCGTGAGTGTAGGCGGCGACCAAGAGAGTGGTATGGGCCTGCTATGGCCATCCATTCTGCCTGTCATCCCTCTCCCCTGTGAAAGCCCAGGAAGGAGATTAGCTTTCAAACCTGGCCACCACAGATAGAGCTAAACCTCCCTGGCATGGCAGAGGAGAATCTCCTGGCCATGCTGCACTTTCATGGAGAGCAGATGGGAAGACATCAGGTCACGTCCACTCGGTGGAAACAGCTTAGAGATGCTGGGGACTGGAGTGTGACTGCTGAGCCTACAGGGAAGTCCAAGCAGGGAGGGGAGCCAGGGTGGCTGTCTGCTGCTCCCAGAGGCCTCCTCAGACTTCAGGCACTGCCAGCCAGCCTTGAAGATGGACCTGCCCTGGAGTGCTGAGTGGAACTGCCTGTGGCCACTTCTTGAGAAGCACTTACCCTTACCTTCTAGTTCACTGTCCTTTAACTCCAGTCCCCAGCAGCCAGGTGGCTTGACCACCTCAGCGCCTCCATTTGGATGGCCAGCAGGGTTTTCAACTTGGCATCCCTAACCAAGTGCCCTGCACCCAGTATTTCTCCCTGTCACCCAGGCTTCTCTAGGGTTTTTGGGGTTTTTTTGTTTTTGTTGTTGTTGTTGTTGTTTTGTTTTTTTTGTTTTTGTTTTTTTTTTTTTTTTTTTGGTTTTTTGAGACAGTTTCTTTGTATAGCTTTGTGCCTTTCCTGGAACTCGCTCTGTAGACCAGGCTGGCCTCGAACTCACAGAGATTCGCCTGCCTCTGCCTTCCGAGTGCTGGGATCAAAGGCATGCACCACCACCACCTGGCCCAGGCTTCCCTTTGTCCTTACCCAGACACCAAGCTCCTGTGGGTTCTGTTTTGAGAGCCTGGAGGGGACCTGACCCAAGGAGAGGGGTCACAGCCTTCAGCAGCCTTGGCAGCCTCACAGGTGGTACAGAACCAATAGCCTGCCAGGTTCTGCAAAACTAGTTTTCTACAGCAGATGCCAAGTGGGCACTGGGGAGGTAGACATGCTGCCTGGAGCCCTGAGATGGAAGTGAGTCACGAGGCTGGGTTGGGTAGGGCCAGCTTCGGGTGAGAGCAACAAGGAGACCCTGGGGATAGGAGACATACGCAAATCAGGGGGAGCCCATGATGGAGAGAACACCCTCGGACGTATCCTGGGCCTGCCTACCAAGCCAGTACTGACTTGCACTTAGGGCACAAGCCTGAGAGGCCAAGTAATTGCTGGGAGTGAGTGAGGGGCTGCCCCTCCTGTCCCTGGCTGCTGCTGGATCCTCAGAAGGGTCCCTCTCCTTTCCACACCCTGCCACACAGGCCTGCAGTCAGTTTGGAACCTCTGATGTTTACTTTGTTCTTTCCCAAGTTCAAAAGGAGCTCACAGCCCTGCACACCAAGCCAGCCTTAATCTCCTGCTTCGCTCCCAGCTGGCCAGTTAAGGCGGCTAAGACTCGGGATTAGGGGCAGCTTTACAGAACAACCCAGGAGCCAAAGCCCTCCTCTCCTGGGATGGCCAGAGACTCCTTTTCATCTTCACGCCTCACATGGCCCTTTTTCTCCCTTAAACAGCTCTCTAGCAGCCAAGAGGCAATGAGCTTGGCCAACAGAAAGACAAAGACGACATTCAGGAACCAGTTTTCTCCCCTAGCCAGGAGCATAGAGGGATACCACAGCCCCAGATCCAGCAGGTGTATGGCTGTGTGGCCAGGACTCAGGGGCATCTGCCCTTGCCAGCCTGCCATGCCCAGCCATATCCCTGCCCTAGTGTGCGTGAGCTTGGGCTACTACAATAGGAGCAGCAGGAGAGCCCCAAGTGGACAATGGATTCTTCCAAGGGTCTTAAAGAACAGACAGGGTCCTTGCTTTCCTGGGCTGCTCAACATTGGCCAGGCTCTCCTCCCATAGTAACAGGCAGAGGAAAGCCATTGCCTGCCACAGTCATGAGAAGCCAGCTGAGCCACGTGGGCACAGCAAAAGGCACTAGCTCCCACTCTTACAGACAAGGACACAGGCATTGCCAGAAACAAACCAGCAGGCTAGAGGCTAGGTCCATGCCACTGTCACTAGCTCTACAACATGGCACTTCGGCTGCAGAAAGGAGAGGTCTTGCATGACAGATCAAAAGCAGAGAGGCCAGAGGCAGGCTGTATCAATATGTTTAGCTAGGGCACTGCATAGATGGACTTGGGGGGGAAAAGCAATCAATCATGTTCAGAATCCAGCCGGACACTCATTATCACTGATCCCATCATAGGAGGGTAGCCCTGTGATGGCCTGCCTGAAGTCTGGTAGCTCCTGAGCACAGGGTGTGAGTGTAACCCTGAGGACTGTGAAGGGCTTCACGTCCCCGCCTACCCCTTCAGAGCTCTGTGGGCCTTTTCCCAACCTGGTGCCATAGGCAGAGCTACTAAGACCCACATACCTTCTAGCTGGAAGTCGTCCTCGTCCTCCTCACCGAGCGCCTCTCTGGAAGTGTCACCCACGAGCTCCTGGGGAAGACAGGGCAACGGTCACAGGACAGTAGGACCCAGCAGGAACCCACCTGGCTAGACGGGCACGTGACATTGAGCACAAAGTACCAAGTCAAACAGGATGGGCCTAGTCATGGGCTTCTTGACCAAGTGCAAGTGACTTCTCAGTGCACAGCACCCTGGGAAAAACTTCCCAAGATCCACCTAGGACCCACATCTCCTAGAGACCAAGTCCACTCCCCCACTGGAATGCCAGGTAAGATCAATGTCCCTTACCCCTCCTGTCCAGCCAACTTCACAGCCACAGCCTCAGAAGGCACCAAGGAAAGACCTCGGTCTAGATTCTTCCTCCAAACCAAGTGGGGCCCTCTATGCTCTCTTCTCTGGTAAATCCCTATTGCCCTCGACCAATTGTAGCACCAACACATTGGCTAACACCCTGGACCTGTATGCTCTGACTCCAGTGAACCTCGCTGGAGCCTCCACGTCTTGCCCATGGCCTATTTTCCCACTAGCCTGGTCTAGGCACACGCCTGATCTGTCCTCTCCATGAGCTGATGCTGTTTAGAACCAATGTGGCAGGGGTCCTTCCTTAGCAGCCTTGTCAAGCTGCCATCCATTCGGATACTGTCATATTGGCAAAGGGAATTTTGCTGTCCTCCAGGCTAGGGAGCGCCTAACATGTCAAGAGCCTGAAGCCCCAACTGTCTGACTCACCCCAGCGGACTAGAGATACAGAAAGACTAGACCGTATCTTGCAAAATGACTTCTCTATTTATAGGTACTCAGACAGGAATTCTGAAACCTAAGATTATTTAGATAAAGTTAAACAAGACCTTTTAATGTAAGACTTCTCAGGGCCTTCACTACAGTTATCAACATGTGAATCTCTGTTGATATATAGTGCAGTGTAGGGCACACATCCCAAGGACCCAGTCTGGAAAATACTCCTCTCTTGGAAAAGGAGGAGGTCAGGGAGGGTATGCCATATTCCCTCTCCTAATGTCACAATGGTTGGTCTGATGATGCCTCTAAATCCCAGCAAATGGTAAGCAGTGAAAAGCCCAAACACACCAGCTGCAACCAGTGCCTCACTGTGACCACAAAAATCTTTGCCTGGGCAAAATTTTCACAGAATATAAACCATCCAAATGTGGCACTTCAGATGCTTACAGAATACCCAGGCCGCCCTGGGCCTGGCAGAGCAAAGGATGCCGCACACCACAGTGTGTGGCTCACTGGTTAGAGCCGCAGGGTGGTTTCTAATCTCAACTTTTGTTCTGGAGACAAACAGTCCTCTGTTAGCCTGCAGCCTAGATCATTGTAGGCACTCCTTCTTCAAGGTGGTTGAAACATGACTGTCTCTGCTCTGGTGTCCCATTTACTTCAAACCCTGGTGGCTTTCTTCACTCCCCTGCTTGCCAATTATCATAATCACTGAACATTTCCCAGGCTTGTAACCTGGCTGTTTGTGTTAACAGAGCCAGAGTTGACAGGGAATCTGGAGACAGCGACAGGAAAGGTACACACACAGGTGGCATCATCAGATGGCAGGCACACCCCGGCAGCCAATTAAAGCCCAACTTTCATGCCACAAAGACTGCTGCCATCTCCTCAGCCCTGAAAGGCCAGCAGGCAGTGTTTGCGACAGGAGCAGCAGCAGGCTTTAAGGGGACAAAGGCCCTTCATGCTGGGTCCTCTAGGAGAGAGTGGGCTCAGCACTGATCTCAGTAGCCCTGACAGCACCACAGCAAGGAGGCTGGCCATGATGAGCCTTTGAGGTCCTGTGACTTTCTGTTGGCATTACTGCCATATCACCCCAACAGAGTGGCCAAGGAAGCCATCTACTGATGCTGCATGACAGACCCAGCACACCTGCAGAGGACTGAGCTCACACAAAGTATATGCTCTGTAACACACTGCAGTGCTCCCTGGGCCACTCCAGGGTCTCGGCATAAAGTGTGCATGGTCTCTAGACCCAGGGAAAGGTGGTGTGGTGAGCCAATCCTAGGTCATGCCCTGGCTTCTGGGCTCTCCTGGCATTTGGACTCTGGTGGACTTACCTGTACCGTGGCCCCAGTATGAGCCACACTATGGTGAGAGAGCTAACACTCACAAGACGCTCCCTGAACAGCAGGCGGTGCTGATTCGTGTTAAAGAGCCTCCTCTGGCCATCACAACAGTCCTGCTCTGTCCGCCTCTCAAGAGAGAGTACTCAGAGCACTCGTGCAGCATGTCCAGCATGTGCAAGGCCCTGGGTCCCACGCACAGCATTGCAAAAAGGGAGGGAATTGGAAAGGAGGGAGAAAGGAAGGGAGTGGAACCCTCTCTATTATGCATTTGAGGCTAGCCTGGGCTACACCTTATCTCAAACAAACAATGCATGAAATGGGGCCCAGCCATCAGCTCTGGTGGCTCAGAGGCTAAGCACTCCCAGTCTATCCAGTGGGACTCAGCAGTACAGCTAGCTCCTTCTTCTCTGTGGTGTAGGCTTGGTCCTGGCTCCAGCCTGGCCAGAAGCCCATTCCACACAGCCACAGACCTGTAGCGACCTCCTACAGGAAGGCAGGTGCTGTTGGAGCTGCGCACTCAGACCTCATAGCTGTAATGAGCCCCATGGGGCCTGCAGCAGAGGGCACAGAAATGCGATCAGGCAGTCACGGGTGGTGCAAACACAGCTCACTGACAAGCTAAGTCTAGAAGGTGCAGCTCTACCTCCCACGTGCCTTGGTTCCCCCTCCACAGATAGGGCCACAGCACACTATTTCAGGGTGACTCTGAGGAGCAAGGGAGTGCTCCACCTCCATGCTGGAAGATCAACCAGCAGTTACGGCTCCTCGCTTCCTCTGTATTCATCATCAAACACTATCAGTACATACTGGAAGTGCTGGAACTGACCAACCTTAGCTATCCTCCAGTGGCAATCACTGTGGGGTATGCTGCTATTATCCCACTCTATAGATGAGAAAACCAAGGCAGAGCAGTCTTGTGACTTGCCAATGCTATAGTTCTTACACACCAGAGAGCCCAACCCTTACCACCGTACTTTCTTGTAAGAGGCCTGAGTCTGGAACTTAGACAGAGAACTATCTCATTCCTAGGACCCAGGGCCTAGGCCCCATCTCCTCTGGCTTCTAGGACTGTGGGCCTCAGACTTACTCCAAGTTCTGACTAAACAAGAGGCCTGACTTGGTATTCTGTCAGGCCATGTGGCCTACATGTGCCTCTGAAGTCCCGGTGCTGTCCCTCCGCTGCCCTGGAGCCCAGGCTCCACCCCTCACTGGGCCCCAGGAAGAGCAACTTCTCCCGGTCACTGGTGTGCAGCCGGCCCAGCCCTGAGCTAGGAGGCACAGGCACACTGCCTTATAAGGCCTCCGGGACGGAAAACCACATCAAAGTGGGGCCTTGGGGAGTGTTGGCGCAGGCTAGGGATTTTCCTCTTTGTCGTTGGGACCTCATACTCCTGAACTCAGTCTCCCCCCACGCAAGGCCCCAGCAGGTCTCTGTCAATCTTTCTGTTCTCTAAGAGGTAACAGATGTGGGTGCCACACATTTTCCAAGCAAACTCTTGGTGCCCACAGAACACGGTACCATGCAGACTCAGGAATGCACGGGACTGAGACATTCCGGTAAGAGGGGGCACAGCCCAGGCCACCCCAGAACCCTCAGAATCAAGCAGCCTGTCCTAGTTAGGCCCTGAGATGAATGCATAGCAAACTCTTTCTTCCATGAACTCTGCAGACACAGCCCAGCCTCACTAATAGCACGCTCCATCTTCTGTTGCCAGAGGCAGGACAGGGCTGGTCCATGCTCTAGTGCCCAGGTGGGCCCAGCTCGGGCTCCAGCCCCTCTCCACAGCTGAGTGACAATAAAAGTGTCATTAAACTTGTCCACCTCTATTTTCCTCCTCTGTAAAATGGAGATGTTTTTATGTCAGAGGAACCAAGAAAAAGGTGGGGTCAAAATGTCCAGGTGACCTCTGTTACAAAGTCAAGAGCCCAAATGTCAGATTCTCCCCATTCTTCTGCCATAGCCTCCTCTCATGCTCTCAAATGTCCTCATGGTCCATCCTGATAATCACCTAGCTCCCAGCAGCTCCGCCCCCTCTGAGAGCCCATTTAAGTTCACTGACATCTAGAGCTAAGAGATTTCCCCAAAGCCACCAAAAGATACAATGTGGTTCTTCACTGTGGGTTGGTGGACTCCTCTGCCTGCCACAGAGCATGTCCCAAGGGAGGAGTGAGGGAACACATGCAGAGGATGTGATGCCACCACTGTGCACCTAGGAAACAGTGACTGTATAAGGGACCCTGAGGCACACAAGAGGCCAGAGAGTGTATGGAATGGATGCCCTGGTCACCCACTGGGAAGGGAAAGAGACACAACCTCAGTCAGAAACCAGCCTTCTCAGAATCCTTCTAGTGCTCAGAGATGAGGACAGTGGTCCCTTGGGCTCCATGGGGGCCGATTCCAAAGACGTCCAAATCTTAGGACTCTGAGGGCTCTTAGATAAAACAGCACAGTATCTGCAGCGCCTAGCTACCTCCCTCGAAGTCTTTAAGCCATCTCTGGATGACTCTCAGTTCCGACAAGGCAGCTGTGTAAGCAGCTGTCACACTACTCTGTTCAGAGAATGACAGCCAAGAAAATAGTCTGTACTTGTTCAACACAAAGGTGGTTTTTTCCATGTGTATCTTCCACGGGATGAATGGGTGGGTGTGGAACCCACAGACACAGAGGGCCAGCTGCACATCCACGTGCCACCCGGGTAATGAAATCCTGACTTAACAGACTGCAGATGACTACCCACTTCACAGAAGAGGGACCTGGAGTCCAGACAGATGGAGAGAAGGGTCTAAGAGATCACAGAGAAAAGGCAGCAGAGGAGGCTGGGGTCCTCTAGGCCCAGGAGGCTACGATTTCCTAGTTTCAGGACTTCTGGGGTGCCCAGTCACCAACATCACCAGCAGCTGATTGCTTTTCTGTGGTACATCCAGGGAACAAGAGATGGAGAACCA